GAGCCAAGTCATCTAAATGAGCATTACTGATGTGGCAGGAGCTCACAGCTGTGGCACTTGGGTGGTGGGTGTGTCGTAGTTGGGCATGACTGTCACTTATGTATGAATGAGAGCCATACTGACGCTCTGGTTTATTATGTTGGAGGAAACGGGTGCGCTGGTGGAGGGTCATAATTTCTGTTGACCTTGATAAATGTCATTTATTGTTGGCACCATTATATAGTTTAGCCTGGTCAACATGTGCCAGTTAAAGTCTGAAGTATTGCAGTTAATCTATGGAATAAATTGATAACGACAACAAAGGAAGTGGCCTGGAAGTTATTGAAGCAGGCGTCTGACAGCATGAAATTCACCGAGTTAACCCTGTGCGACCCTCTACATCATTGTTAGCTTTACCGCACAAATATTTACCATTTTCCTGACTCATTTCACGATAACGTTAAAGTTGCACTGCATTTACATCTCAGTTGTAGTTAACATCAAGCATGTGGGTGTGGCTTAGTGTAAAACTTTCACTATTTACCATGAAACATCAACATTAAATGACTTCCAAATGCAAGATCACAGCTGCATCATCACACTTCCTCTGTCTTTCTAGAGAACAGCCCTGAACACATTTCCATGGTCACTTGATGACCTCACTGTAGCCCCGCCCACTTTTAAGAGGCAGTCACATGTTTTTTCTGCTGTTTATTTTACTGTTATTCTATCATTTATATGGGTTTCATGATGTGAATACTGACTAAAAACGATAACATGATGAACTCTATGAATGCTGGCTGCTGACCGAACCGCATTGGGGTGTAGAAATGACGAAATGCATTACTTCGCCACGTGCATATGATCGGCTCTAAATGACACGTGGATCATCGGACTGGCGCCAAATTGGATACGTATGACCTTTGTTGACCTCTAAAGGGCCCAACAGCATTGAAATGTATTTTGACTCCACTGTGTCCCCTACATTAATCCGCCAGCTATATTTCCTCGCTAAATCCATGAATCAGCACCACATTTTTTTGCGTCGTCAAGGAGCGCTGTCGAACGCATCGATGCGTACCGCCTGGTGGACGGGCGCGGAAACTGCGCAACAACTTCTGCGTTGGAACATGGGCAGCGTTGATGGAAACTGAGCAACAGCTTCCGCAGTGCGGGCGGAGGCGCTGAAAACTGCGTGAGAGCTTCTGTGGTGGCTGGCGTCGGTTGGTAGTACCCCACGGTGGCCTATAGGCCGGAGCGGCGCTTGGCTGCGAGGGCCGCTCGAGGCTGCTTGCAGCTTTAATTCAATTTGTTTTTTCATAATCAATACTTTAAATTTCAATTCAAAGTCTATATTTAGACTTTAAACAATCTCTTGAAAATATTTTAATATTCAAAATAAACAACTATACCATTACCATTATATTATTGCAAAACATCAAGATGACATTTTGATGAATAAGCTCTATATAAGTAAAATGAATAGAATTTGACCTTAGAGGAGACATCACTCCCTGCATTCATTTCCTATGGAACCTGTGCAATGAGGCAACAAGACAAAACCTACTTCATTTAAAATGATCCTTCAGACCAGCAGCGCAAAAACTCATGTTGGGGTTGCATTATCATTATTGTCTTCAAAAGATTAGTTGTGGAAGAATAGATCAATAAAATTACCCAATAAACTGTTCAAACACTAATAGGTGTCCCAGTCGATGACTTCAAAAATTGAACCACTTTTCATATTGACATAAATCAGATTAAAATGTAATAAGTTTTGATTGATGAAATTAACTAACATTCTCATTATGTTGCCTTCTAGACAACGACAAACTCTTATGGCAGGAAAGATTTTACCTGCATGCCTCAAGTTCTGCATACGCCACAGAGAATTTCAAATATCTATCGTATTAGGAAATGACTAAATGCTTGGGAAAGTTTTCTCTATGGTATGTAACTCAATGAGTTTAGCAAAAAAAAAACTAAAAAAACTTTTGAAGTTCTTTGAATAGTTTCACTTCAATGATGGTAGTCATGAATTTTTCTTTATAACTTCCTCAACTTCATCAGTATCCCTCAAACCCTTCCTGTTAAAGGGACATTCGCGATTGAAACAATCCAATGTCCACTGTTTCAATCCACATTCATAATAGTACAGGTCATGTGTCTTAAGAAGCATTAGTTTTAAATATATATTCACCATAATTAATAATTCTACCACCTGACTTTATTTTGAAGGAACAAGTTCCACACCTACTATGCAGGCAACATAAACACCTAATTTAAATCGTCTCACTCAACTCTGAGAAAAAATATTCTAACATCATTTATCTGAAATAAAATACTATGACACCTAACACTACTTAGAACAGAATAGTTCACTAAACTGTTGGTCAAATCAAACCCATTTTCAGTTTTGTGTTTGGTTTATATCCATGATTATTGCATTGGCCCTCACAGAAGATCTTACCAATGGGAGAATCATAAATGAACGTTAAACTCCTTCCAGCAGGAGGTTTCAACTCCAGTCCTACACCAACAATGCACTACGTGAAGGATTTGATTACCTATATACGTTTTATTTTTTTTAATTTTTAATATACTTGTACAAAAGCCACAAAGTCATAATGGAGTTTTGTGTGTAGAATTTAATTTATAAATTTGTCAATGAAAATCCCAAGACCTGTAGAACATAATCCACAAGAAAGAGAATAAACCAAGAATCAGGTTAATTTTTCAAGATGGTGAGAAAACAGCCAAGGATGCAGGATTATTACATTGAGAAACAATTAAATTTTAGCTGAGAATAAACCAAAGCTTTAATCCCAAAAATGATCAAGTATTACAAGACATTCATATCAATCAATCAAGTTTATTTCTTGTATATTATATATCTGCAACAATGGAGCTCAGAGTTATTTACATCATGAAAGCATGAAGATGATATAGTCAACAATTGTGACAACACCAGTAACAGACATTACATTTTGTCAAGTGACATCCTTAAAACCACCAAATAAATAAGTTGCTCAATGTTCCATTTATTATGGTTCACAATAAACTACTGGGTATAACCCTGGATCCAAAGGAACTCAGTGTTTTAGCTGTTTTTAAGATTTAAGAGTTTGTTCCCTAGTGTGTCATTTCCTGCACAAACAGAGCACTAACGAAGTAGACCATTTTGGTCTGTTTTGGAGCAATATGGTGACGTCATCGGCCAAAATTATAATTTTTAATATCTCAGCAGCGAAAGCTGCACAAACGAAAATTTTAACGGCACAAACCTGCACAAATGGAGCACTAACCAATCAGACTATTTGCTGGATTTTTTGACAGTATATGTACATAGGTGATATTAACTTTTTGATGAAATGTAAGATTTCCGAGGACTGTGAGGATTAGGATGAGAGTTTATTGGGAGGTCAGATAGTAACTAAATTTGACTCTCCTGACAGCAGATGCATGCTGTGCAAAACATTTAGGTTATTACTGAAAATGTGACCCCTTAGACACTTTTTAACATTTACCTGGTCAGGGATGTTTTGTTTTACTGCCGTCTTGGTTTGCTTTCATTCTTACCAGGACACCCTGGAGAATGACATTCAAGGTTTCAATAGGTCATTACTGAATAAATGAAGCAAACTCAATCCTGACATTCCCCCAGCAAACCCCAAAAAAGCATTTCTATATGAAACTAGAATACTTTTAACAGCACATTTTGGGTTGAGCCAGTGTCTTTCAATGTTTCTGATTCATCCATCCATCTTCTGCCGCTTATCTGGGATCGGGTCGCGGGGGTAGCAGCTTAAAAAGGGAGGCCCAGTCTTCCCTCTCCCCAGCTACTTCCTCCAGCTCCTCCGGGGGAATCCCGAGGCGTTCCCAAGCCAGCCGAGAGACGTAGTCCCTCCAGCGTGTCCTGGGTCTTCCCCGGGGCCTCCTCCCGGTGGGACGTGCCCGAAACACCTCACCAGGGAGGCGTCCAGGAGGCATCCTGACCAGATGCCCGAGCCACTTCAACTGGCTCCTTTGTTTCTGATTCCTCAGCATCAAAATATTTTATTTTATTTTTTAGCTATAGTGGCAGCTTTTTCTAGCACATCCAAGTCCAAGAGAAATTTTTCCTACAGAGAAAATACATATTTATGTGTGTTTATATAAAAATGAGCAATAAATGTACAGATCCTATTTTACATGTTCACTTTTTTACTTAACATTAACAAGAGCACTTCATACATTTAAGTTGCAATCAAAGGACCTCAAACAGAAGAAGACAAAAGAAATTCTGTTGGAAAATTTATTTTAGTTAAACTAAAACACATATTTTCTTAAGGTTTTCTCTCACCAGCATCATTTTACTAAAATTATATTGCATTGCAGACTTTTATTTTCTTTTAAATAAAATGACACTCAAATTAAGCCAAAAATTAACAGCTGATGTATGCATTTTATACAACAGTTTAGCAACTTTTACCTAAATTTTATAGTAAACATCCAGATGCAGGTTGACAAGTGATCAGTACTAAATATTATGTTGTAGGTATTATAATAAAGAAGCTAATTACTGATTAAGAAAAAAAAGCATAACTGATCCCAAAATTATTGAAAAAAATCAAATTAAAAAGAGAACTTCAAACAAAAGCATCAAGCTAGATATAATCAGCCACCTGCAGACCCCATCAGCTTTAACACAATGACTTGCATAAACTACAGAAAGTAAGAAATTCATTACATTATTGGTTACAATTTCTGGATAATAGTGGATGTTTAAAATGTTTATTAGAATTACATTAACAATATTGTCATTTGTGTGTTTCAGGGATTGTTGATATAGACTCAGACTTTTTTCTCCCTCTTCATTTAATGATGTCAGAGTCAGAACCAACATCATATACTTAACATTTTGAGCACAATTTAAAAAGTGCAAAACAACAAAAAATGTACTTCTGTCTTGGGAACAATTGTACTTGAAACTATTTTCTGCTAAAATCTGTTCTAACAAATCCAGAGATCTGTTGACATTATTATGGAAATCCAAAGAAATTTAAAAATCTCTTCATTAAGCCTTTGTTTTCCTTCGTCTTTTGTCTGTCAACAGAAACGTTCCGTGGTGACATTTTAGACACGAGTAGGGCTTTTTCCTTCATTTCTTCCAAAGACTTGATTCGGGCCTTGTAACCATGTTTGGCCTCTGCTTTCTCTCCTTCAATCATCATATCGATGAAATCTGGAGCAGTCAGAGGGTTTGGCCTGAGGGCAATCTCTTGAAGACGAGTGATAGAGTTGGCTGACTGATCCATGAGAGAAAGCATTATTTCTTGCAGGTGAGCGATCTCTTCCTCTTGCCTCTCAATCAGTTGCTCAGTAGTCAGCTTTTGCTTTGCAGCATTTTCGTACTTGCTTTTCAGTTCTTGGACTGTTGTCTTCTCCTTTACTTGGATGTACTCCCACCTGTATTTTTGATTGAAATGCACATTCCAAATACATTTTCCAGGACATACAGTGCACTTTCCACTGTTATCCATTGCTGAACAGCCATGCTTCTCGTTGTCTTTTGCTATCATACATGGGTAGTGACATGTTGTTGAACACTTTGTACAGTTGGTAATGTACTCTCCCTTCTCTGTGATCACTTTTTGGATTGGCTTAATGACGTCCACTTCAATCTCAAAGTTTTCATTTGAACTTATGATGGCTTCATGCTCCTTTATCTTTTCCTTGGTTGTCTTAATTTCTTCAAGTTTGGCTAATCCAGCTTTGACTTGTGGTTGCAAACCTTCAATGGCTGTCTCAAGTTGCTTTCGCTCTTTTAAAACTTCCTTGGTCAAGAGCAGGCTTTTAGATGTCATTTTCCCCAAAGAAGTGAAGAACTTCTCCATGCTTTTGATCCCCATCTTCCAAAACATTTTGTCAAAACTCTCCTCCTCTTCATCAGAATTCTCATCATGAGGTGAGGTGCTGTTTTCTTGGCATTTATTATGTGCAAACAGTGCAGAGTTGTTGAACTTGAAATGAACTGGAAATCCTAAGTCATTTTTGGGACATGGTACCCCAGAGACATTTATTGCTTCAAGAACTGGTGGCTGCTTGCCATCTGCAAAAGTGACCAGCATGGTAATATTCTCTGCTACATCTTTGCCAAAGATGGAGAGAACTGAGTCAAACACATATTTCTGTGTTGCTGTTAAGCGTGCCAGAGAAGCCTGAGTAACAAAGCATATGGCATCAATCTCTGTGACGCCATCAGCAGAGGTAAAAATCCTTCGAATTTGCTCTGTGATCTCCTGGTCTCGTTTTATTCCCCTGGTGTCTCCAAAGCCTGGAGTATCAATAACAGTCAGAGAGTACGGGATTTTAAACCCATCCTGGTGGTTGATTTGATACACAGTGACTTCTGAAGTCTGACTTTGAGCTTGGGATCTTGATGAATCCTCGTTGATCAGTTTAAATCTGAAGTTGTCATTCCACTCAACACCAACAATAAAGTTGATCATTCCATTGATGAGAGTGGACTTTCCTGATCCGGTTGCTCCAAGGAGCATGATGGTACGGTTGGGTCTTAGACTTTCCTTACCAAGTATGTACCTTCGGCAGCCATCGATGTCCAGATCATCCTTTCTCAGTGGGAGTTCATAGACTGATTGGAAGCTTGAGTTTGTTTTCTTGCTAATGTTTTTTAGATATTCAGCAAGTCGTGCAAATTCTCGCTTTGTTGTACAAATTTGAACAATCTTGCTTTCCTTGCTCCTACCAGCCCCACCACAGTCACATGTGATCCTGAATGCATATTGTGTTTCTGACTGAAGTCCTGAAATGATGGCCGTTTCACCTTTTGACCTTGTGTGATCATCTTCTACCTTTGAATATTCCACAATGTAGCTCAGGATGTGAACATCTGGTCCGAGCTCTGCAGGTTTCTCCCAACTCACTGATATCTCAGAAGAGTTTGGTTCACCTTGCGGTTCTCCAGGAGGGCTGCAGGGTAAAGTTTTAATGGGATCATTGATGACATTGGCCGGTCCAACACCTGCTGAGGTCACTGCTCTGCATCTGAACATGTACTCTGTGTTTGGCTGCAGTTGGGTCACTGTGATTTCTGAAGATTTTGGTTCAGTCTGTTGTTTCCATTCATCTTGTCCACGGACACAGAACTCAACAGAGTAGGATGTGACGCTCTCTGCTCCAAAGCTGGGAGGAGAAACCTTCAGAGTCACACTGCTGTGGTTTATGTCAGCAGCTGTCACAGTTTCAGGCTTAGAAGGAGGCTCAAAGTTTTCACTGATGAGGAATCCGTCTTTATAAAGGTAGATGGTTGAACCTTCATGTTTCTCATCTGTTAGACCTACTGCCAGGAATGCTGAGCTCTTGGTCTCAGTGTTGGCCTCTGCGAAGTCTTTGAAGAGTTTTACTTTTGTTCTCATTTCATCTGCCAAGTTGTTTGAGAGATACCATTGTTCCTTCTCGATATCATAACTGTGTGAATCATCCGAGTTGGTTTTGCTTTTGAGGTAGTTCAGCAAAGCAGAGAGGAACGGTTCATCTCTTTCCAGTGAGCTGAAGACAAAACACACAGCATGCTCTGCATTGAGAACTTCTTCATTAAGGATAGTTTGAGATGGGATGATTTTGGTGTTCTTCATCATCCTGGTGTAGGATTTCAGGGTATGTATTTCTCTCTCTTTGCAGTCAATCCAGTCCTTGAGGTTTTTGCTGTTGAAAGGTGAGGATTGAATCTCCTTCAAGACATTTGCAAGCTCAGACTCTTCTTCTCCTCCTCCTCGGATTGATGGGAGTTTCTTTGCTAAAGTTTGTTGAAATTCAAGCCTGAACTCAGAACACAAACTTTTAAAATGATTAAGTTTTTTGATAATCTGTGGAAACTGCTGTGCTGTAGGGTTTTTCATTGCATCATTGCACCTTATTTCCAGGTCACTGAGCTCCTCCAGGACACTTTGTACTTCTTGAACTAACCTAATACTTACTTCACGGACAAGTTTAGCTGCAGAAGAATCTAAGTTGGTCAGAGGCAGCATCCAGACCTTGATTGGTACGGCATTTTCTCCACTGGCCCCCAGCAGCTTGGGCAGGCTTTGGTAAACTGCTACTGCATCCTGGAAGGTTGTTGGAGTTTTCTCAAGTAGGAAGTCTCCATAAAACTTACAGGAGAACTTCTGCATTAATTCCTTGTCCTTATCTTCCATGTGTAAGGAACCTTCACCTTCAATAGTTAGGGTTGGAATCTTGTCAATCAAAACTTTCAAGTTGCCATGAATGTCTTGGTGATTTTCTGTCTCAGATTTTTCTCGGTCAAAGACAAAAAATGCTTGAGCTCCATACAGAATGCCTGTGACCACATGTGTTGCTATTTTGTTCTCAAAAACATATGGATGCTTCATGTTTCCTCTTCCAAGATGATTCATTGATAATTCTTGGAACTTTGTGGTAGCTTTGTACTTCAGTGTTACTCTGGCTTGATTTTTGGACGTCATCTTGTCATTGAGGTATTTGGCTGATCCTTCAACTTTAACTAGGCCGCCTAAAAAACTTGCTTTCAAAGATGCTTCAACATCCAGGGCTGAAGATTTGTCCTCAATTGATTCAGAAGCAACTATCTCAAAGTCACTGTTTGGTTTTGTGGTTTCTCTTTTATCTTTTTCCAAGTCATCACGATCCCAGAGTGTCAATCCTGTAGAAACAGAGAGAAGACGTTTATGTGGGAATTTCAGAGGCAATTTTCAGAGTGGAAAAAATTTAACACCATTAATCAGTTCTACTCAAGTTTAAGATCATAGCTCAGATTTTATGTGATTTAGTGTTTAATACCAATAAGATCATTATAGTGAAGAGCTAAATCATTCATGTTGCCACTAAGGTTGATGGCCTAAATGTAGCCTCTAATGCTTTCTTAGACTGAATTATCTTTACTCAAAGAATTCACTCTTACATTTGTCATCATATTTTAGACTTTGTTCATACAGCATTAAATTGAAACAAACAGCAGTACTTCCCATAACCATGTGCTATCTGATCATTTTAGGAACCTTTGGCTTTTTGTTAATGGAGTTTTCCAAACGATCCTCATCAGACCATGCTGTTAAAACCTTTTCTCAGAATCACAAAGAATCACAGCAGAAGGCAACTGCTGGCAAGGCATCTGTAGCCTTTTTCAGATTGATGTTTTTTCATGGTGTTACTTGGTAATTGATTGTGGCATTACACAGTGTTGCCCCTTGAAAAGGAAAGTCATTATCTCTAGAAGGTTGGCTCCTCAGTTTAATTCAGAGCTGCAAACTTTACAGACAGGAATGAGACTTTAGAGAAGATGGTCCTCTACATATCTAGAGCAGTTCTACTTGGAAATACAGTCAACTGTTGTACAAAAATACAATTCACCAAGCTAGAACATCATACTTTTAATGAACTGACAAAAGTGGATATATACTGAGTATATAAAAAGTGTTAATATGCAGATGACATGGTGGCATTGGGCTTATGCTGTGATCACATTGATGAACTCACATTGTTCTTACACCATTCAAATGATTTGGTCAATGAAATCAAGGCTAAAGAACTATTAGTTGGTCGCCAAATGTTTCAATGGTTATTACCTGAAACATTGACAATGTTCAAGCTTTATTTGCCACTGTTAAGTTTGTGAGGTTTGTGTGTTGGGGATGTCTGTGTTCGTGTGCATCACAACAGAATACAGACGGCAATGTTAGCTAGCTTGGTTTGCTAGCAATGTTGTGAAAACTGGTATGAGGAGGTGAGATTTTCCAGGTTCACGCAGAAAACAGATCATAATGAGCCTGAGAGACTGAAGTAATCTTGCATACTGATTTAATGTTGATTATGCAAAGATATATTATGTCGAAGCATTAATGTAAATTCTGAAGTTGATTGTTGATGATTATATGAACAATCAACTAAATGACGAATCATAAGCTGATTAAAAATAATGAGTATTAAGAAGTTATGATTGAAGAAATGTATTAAAAAGTGATTGTGTTGATGAGTTATAAGTTTGCATAACATATAAAGGATTGAAATCAAACAATAAAAAGTATACGGACAGTCTTTGGGTGCAGAGGCAAGCCTGGACATGTCTTAAGGATGGGTGTGGACAGGCCTGGTTCGGACGCTAAAAAAGGAAATCTGGGCGATGAGACGGGGGGCCTGGTGCAAGCAAAAGGATGAAGTAATCAGAGGGCCTGGTGTAAGTAAGCAGGCCTGGTATGAAATAATCAAATACTTGGGAAATCATGTAAACTGTTCCCCATACACAACAGCAAGGGAAAAAGAGTACAAATAAGCGGAGAAACAGAGAGCTGGGGTTCTCCATCTTCAGCAAGTGGACCAGGCAACAGCAGGCCAAGAAATCAACGAGGAGCCTCGCCCCGGACCCAGAGGGAAGACAAGACTCAACTCCGCTGGAAGAAAGACGGGACCAACAACTCTGGCTCTGCACTCAACCCGAAAGATCTCAAGCATTGCTGCAACGGACTTGGGGATCGGACAAAGATCACAAAAGTGATGAAGATTTGGGACGATTGAAAGATAACTACCAGTCTGCTTTGTTCCTGTTTAAAGGAGGATTTGTCAGGCCAAGACAAGACTCTGTCCAAGGAGATTTATGCCTTGTGTTGCCGAGATCCTCTATCATCTGGGTATGAGTTGCCTGCACCCCCAAAAAAATGCCTTACTTAGTAAATTTATGGCACAGTTTAGGGTGTCAAGAAAATCCGAGATCATCCCACTTCCCCATGCTGGAGATTTTAGTTAACAGTAACAACAAATAAAGTTACCTTTAAAATAAATCACACCAATCACATCTAGATCCAACAGTAGACCCAGAGTCCAATAAAATAAACCTTGTTGTGTGTGTTGGTTTTGTCTCCTGCAAACTTAGCTTTAATTATACTTATTTTTCTATCTAATCATTAGAAATCATAGTTAGAGAGAGAAATGAGACAGGAAGAGCAGGTTTCCTGGAAAAAGAGGAAGTAAGTTTCCAGCTTGCAGATGTATAAAAATAGCTGAGACCAGTCCTTGTTTAAAAGCATAAAAGTTTTAAAGGATGAAATCTAAACATTTTGAGTAATTAGATAAGATTTAAAGTAAAGTACTTATATTAATATTGGTTTACCTATAACAATATTTACTTACACTTGTGGAAAAACGTACAAGTAAAACAAGTAACTGTAACTTTGGTATCAAATAATAAAAGAGTAATAAGTTGTGGTTATAAAATTATAAATTAATGCTAAATCAAAAGAAACTGAAAGGTTTATGATATTGAACTTGAAATGATGTAAACATGTAACTATTAAAGATCACTGATGATGTGCTGTAGTAGGTGATAGTAGGTGAAAGGTCAGGGGTCAAATGGGGACTAACAGGAGAGCAGAGATGACCAAGACCTTATTAGGACATAGATTGTTGAACAACTTAAACATGTCAGAGACACGGGAGGAACGTTGAGCAACCCTGAGACATTAGCCAAGACCTCAGGACAAAATGTCTCTAAGACAGTGATGGATATGAGTTCATCTGTCCAAACAGTTACCCAATAAAGCACAGCAACAGTGTTAGCCAATGAAAATGCACTGAAAGCGGGTATAACCCTATATAAGAGGAGAGCAAAGAGGAATCTTTGGTTGGATCCTCCAGGCAGCTTCGAGTCAAGACCAAGATGGACAAAGAACTCTGCAGCTGAAGAAGAGCCGGAGACACAGAGCCGAAGACTGTCCTGTTCACGGGGACAACCCATCAGCCCTGCAACATGTGGCTTCAAATCGCACTTCTCTCATCGGCTGGGTTCAGACCACAAAGACAAAGATAAAGACAAAGATGAAGATCAAGGCAAACTAATCTAGCGGTTAACAAGTGCTGGTTATTCTTAGAGAGGGGGCTACCGTTAACAGGAGTGGTTGTTGGGGTTATGCAGTTGCGAGGCCTACTCAACTGATTTCTTCGTAACTGAAAAGGGTCATAACTTCTGGATAGTAGGTAGTTAGAGCTAGACGAGTCTTTCTATGCCAGCTTGGACAGATTGTTCCTCTCAGTCCTGCTACAGGGTAATACCCAGGTTTTAGAGACTTTCCGGACCCGTTAGACAGAGAGCTGGTCACTCGTCAGCCCAGAGGAGTTGTGAGGTTTAGGGCGGGGCTGGCTATTGCGTAATAACTGACAACAAGTTTCAATAAATGTGCTCTTTCTAACGCGCCCTGCCCACACACTCACACACATAATGGACACTAATATTGTTTCAACATTGCTGTTGTCATTTTGTTTTCAAAATGTTCTACAATTTCTTCTAAAAATGCTTAAAGTGAAAAAAGTATTATTTCAAACGTGAAATAATACTTGTGTGAAATAAAACACATCAGAAAGGTTCATACTAAACATTATTTGGAATCAAAATGATTAAAGTAGCATAAAAACACATTGATTTAAACACAAGTCCAAAAAGACGCACTCATGGAAGATCGTTTAGTCAATATGTCATAAATCAGAGGGTTAAAATTGTGAGCAAAAAATACAAATGATCTGTTTTGTACAAAGCCCACATATGTGTGCGTCTTTGGGGGTGGACACATGTACGTCCTAAACCTGAATGTTATTGATTAGTTCACTTTTGTTTATTTGGCAGCTTGGCTTTCTTTCTGAGTTAAATGTGACAATGCCATGAAGCTTGTTAAAAATGAATAAACTGACTTTTAACCCTGACGCAGCTCTGAAAGGTCTTACACTGACCCCAACTGAGCTTTTGGTCCTGCATGTGCCTGGTCTATGTGCGCTGTTGAAAATTGGACTTATTTAACTGTGTGTATGTCACTTTAAGAGCTCAGGGAGCCATCTGAATAAGCTTCACTCTGATTGGTTCATTGTTGTTATCTCAAGCTACAGTTAGTTGTTGGAAAAGCACATGTTCAGTTTTCGTTGGAAAAGTAATGATTGGAAGCCGTCCAGAGCTGTTGTTTCAGAGATTGGGAGTGCGTAATGAATAAAAGTAAGTTGAATCATTATTTAATCAAGATTTGTTTATCTGTGCACCTTAAACATATACAGTATGTCAGTTTAAAGAGTTAGTTATGATAATGTGATTTGTAGTTTGTTGTCTTTTGCTGCCATCTACTGGACAAATTGGTAATAGCCGTTTGTGGTGAGCGAAAATAATAGCTTCTGTTTGTTTGTCCTTTTTTTTGTAGACCACTCTCATCTCTGTTAAAGGAAATCAAGACCTGAAAACGTTTTTATCATTCTTGACCGAATGTTCGTGGTGGCTGTCCCATTTAAAGAACATCAAGTAAAGGGAGCACAACGGCGCTTTTACAAATTAAGTTTTTCTGTGGTTTTGGAAACTGAACCACTGATGGGACACCCCATTGATTCTCCATTGACAGACATGACATCTTCCAAGCACTCCCTCAGCGTCATGCTAAACTGGGAGAGTTGAACACTTAAATCTCGTCAAAATGTCACAATTGGTAGAAAAGAAGCAAACATTGCTTTGACAACAAAGATGCCTGCAGCTCATAGTGATTGTCTGTTCTGTGTTCACAGCTGAGGGAGGAAGGCAGAGAGTACTGGCAGCAGAGGAGGTGGCATTCTGGGATGGTGGCACCTATGAGGGGGTGTCAGGATGGACTGTGGAGAGGTGGAGACCCCAAGTTCCCCTAGCCTGGAGCTCGGTGACCTCAGGTCTGCACTACAGGAGAGATGTTGGGCCTGTCCTGAAAGCGGCGCATTGTTGGATAATGTTTGGACAAAAAAAACAGTGCCATAAGGTCCAGCAGTGAACAAGCATTTATGTCTTATTTTGTGTGGAAACATTGAAAAAATTAAATGAAATAAAGAAAAAGAAAGTTCTGTGCCTCATTAATATTCCTCAAATATGAACATGTTGCATATATGCAATATCATTTGAAGGTATTTTAATGCAGTATATATTTTTATATAGATTTTAATACAGCATTAAAAATATTGATTGGGGCGGGGTTTATTTATAAAGACGTGTGGAGTCCAATGGGGACACATCAACCAACCAGTCACATGTTGGTGATAAATTGTGATGTCATTGATTTCATCTGATGTCTGAGAATCCACGTTGGTCTGCTGAAGCACCTTTGCATATGCTAGGCTATTCGTATGCTAAGTAGAGTTGTTAACAGTGTTGTATAAAGTACTGAAATCTCAGAGTCAAGTAAAAGTATAGGTACCACTCCAAAATATGACTTTGGTAAAAGTGAAAGTCACTGATTGAAATGTTACTTGAGTTAAAGTCTTAAAGTATCTGAAATGTCTTGTACTTAAGTATGGAAATTACTGTAACAATGGATGAACTCAAGTAATGTAATGAAAAGTACAAGTAAAAAGTAAAACAAATGCAGTTTGAATGACATTTTTTATATTTTGGTAAACTTGTTAAATACACTTAAAATAATGTACACAACCAAGTGCAGGCAAAATGAAACCTGCTAATAGATAAACCTGCAGCATCATTTAGTTAAGAACTTTAGGTACTTTACCTACTTAACCTGCTTTAGGTTAATTTAACCTGCTTTACAACTGAACCAGCTTTTTAGTAAACCCTCCAGGACAGAAATACAAAGTTTCTATAAGCCTCAAGTTTTCCCTTTCAGTAAGGTCAGTGCTGAAAATGAGAAAAATAAATAGTCAGTATAGAAAATGCGGCCAACATGAAGAGAAAAAGCCGTTAGGATTCCTCTACTTCACACACTATAGGTGCAACAACTGGTCATTATGCAAAAGAAAAAGAATTGGGAGGGAAATGCAGCTTATTGACATCTGAAGAGGAGAGCTTTTAGTTAACTTGGTGTTTAATGGGAGAAGGAAACAGACCTCAGTGAAGCTGAACCCCATCTACTCAAATAATCCAGCAAATACTCTGATTGGTTAGTGCTCCGTTTGTGCCGTTAAAATGTTCGTTTGTGCAGCTTTGGTTTCCGAGATATTAAAAATGATTTTTTTATGCCATCCAAAATATATACTTTTTAAGATTACAATTACTGTAAATTTTGAATTTTGTGTCAGTTGGTCACAAGGCAAGAAATCTATTTCCATTAGTTTCTCAGGAGAGTTTGGATGTAAAATTTGTTGACTCTCCCTGAGTGAAACTCTGACACCTTGAGGAAGGGGAGACCTAGAGACCGGCTGGCCCAAATTAGCGTTCATGAATCGGATCAACCTCGAGTTAGGCGCCGCTCACACCGGATATTGGAATAGCCAAAATCCAAATTGAAAACAACTTTGCTGCGTTTGTTTTAACGGCACAAACCTGCACAAACTGAGCACTAACCAATCAGACTGTTTGCTGGACTTTCTGACGTGGTGGGGAGGTGAAACCTGTGCATCCTATTGGTGGTGATGAACAAGCCCAGGCAAACAGGCTTTGTTGCAGTCGGTCAGTAGGTGGGATTAAAACAGTTGTGTTTCTCTCTCGCTTTTTTGTAACGAGTAACTAAACCACACATTGAAAACGTATCGGAGTAAAAGTATGTAATTAAGTTCGGAAATGTAGTGAAGTAAAAGTGAAAGTTATCAAAAATTTTAATACTCGAGGAAAGTATGAAGTACTCCAAAATATACTTAAGTAAAGTAGTGAAGTATTTTTACTTCATTACTATGCAACACTGGTCTTTAAAACCTCCATTCCCCTTTGTATGACTCTACAATGGACCTTAACAAGCTCCGCCCACAACCATCCTAGAAAATCCCACGTGGCTGCAAGTCTCACAAACACAGCTTCACATGGGGTCTTCCACTTGGACTGATGCCCCATCAGTGATGGGGCATTTCTGAGTCCATTATTGCTGGGTTTTAGGAACTAACAAGTTCATGGCATCTTTTTTGGATGACATCAAGGTGTTTGAGCCGCGATGCTTCCAGCATGCAAAGCAAAATGTTTTCGGTCGATGAGGAAAACATAACATCATTATAGCTGTGGACAAGATCACTGATGCCTTGCAGGGCTGGGTAAGTCGGGCTTCATCGTTTTGTAGGTTACTTTTGAAATCAGTGGGTGACTCTTGTTGTTTGTTGGCAAATGTTTGTGCGTTGTGTTAGCTGTGCTCAGTGCTAGCATGGATAACACAAGTAACAGTTTAGTCCAAAGCCTTTTCTGCTAAAATAAAATATTTACTGTATGTCAGATGCAGATATATTGGTCTGTTTAGCTAATATAAGGCTGTGTCACAGACAGATGTCAATGTGTAGAATTAGTAAACTTAAAATATGCTGTACTGAGCTAACAGGTGTTCATGATGGAGGTGTTTATTATTGATTTCCTATTTTTCAGACCAAAAGAAAGCAGATCAATAATATGTACACCAGCACACACTCCTTTGTTCTTGTTGATCCTATGAAGGTTGAGCTGCTCATGTGGTTTTGCACAAGCTTTGATCATATCAAGGCTTTCTGCTCATGATTTTGGAAATCTGTGAATTTTACTACCACAAATACGATCAGGATTCCTGACATCACCAGTACAGATTCCCTACTGGCAATAGAGAACCATTCAGTTTCCATTGCTGATGCGAAAACTTTCTGCCGATCTGCAATGTAGCCGGCAGAAAGTATAACACATGCTCTCTGCATGCATTAACACATGCATTTACTAATGCATGTACATTAGCTTGTGTTGATGAGACGTCTACACACAAGATGATAATGTGTATTATACATCTTAATTTATAAACCACTGAACATCTACAAGTTTGGATTGAATACAGTAGCAAAGTTTAAACTTCAGCTTCTATTAATTTTTAGCTGTTATTTGTTTATACAAGTCATTTTGTTTCTTTTTTTTGTAATGTCAATTTTCAATTATAAATCAAATTTGAAAAAATAAATATAAATCCTTACCAGGTATGACTTCGTCCTGGCGGCAGTCGTACAGCATCCCAAGGCTGAATGGCCTGCCAAGCGTCGCCACCTTGATCATCTTCTCAGACTCCATCTTGTTTTCTGAATCACAAACAGGATGGAGTAGTAACACTATTGTTCAGAAAAACCTGAAAACTCTGAGGACGATCTGACCAAAGGTTCTCCAAAATCTGACAACTATAAAACTCTTGAAAAGACATGAAAGGTGACACACGATCAAAACGATAGAAAAAGGACGACAGATTCAACATTATCCAAAACGAGATGAATAGTCTGATCAGTTACTGTGATGCTTGTGGAAATCCTGGCAGTAACATTGACAAAAACAGGCAAAATTAAGGACTGACTGCAGAAGAACAAAGCAAAGTAGAAAAATAAAATATTTAAAATGCCTCAAAAACTGGAGTTAAATTCAGTGAAAAAATTACATGTTTACACTATATGCACACTTTTTATGTTAAAAATGAGACATTTAAGCTCAATGAAAACAGATATTCTTAAAGAATTTTTAAAATCTTAAGGATTGTTGTTTTTATGTTTCTTCTGATTAAAGCAAAGCCCAAAGAGAAAAAGAATACTTACTGCAGAAATGTGCCTGTGTTGTCTTGAGTCACAAGCTTCCTTTTCAGCCTTTTATTCTCTGGGGTGGAGACACTCCCCTTAATGTTTATGCATTACTGAGAGGCAGAACTGGAGGGAAACAGGCTCATTTCCCAGAAATGGTGTGACCAGCCGCATAGACAGAATCCCTCCAGTGGAGCAACAGCAGCACTACATCTTGTTATTGGATATTTTCAAGTTATTTATCACATTTATTGTGCAGGACTGATATACATATGAGTTAACTGTATGAGAGATCTGGATAAACTAAACATCACATGTATAATCTATTATTTCATAAGAAAAGCCACCTGTTTTTTGTATCTGTCAGAAACGGCTCCACAAAGTTAAATATCTCGGGTTAATTTTCCATTAGATGATCAGTGGCACATTATAATAGGCAGGCAGCATGTAAAAAAACAAACAGCATATAGATAAGAAAAGGCAGTACCATTTAAATATACAGGCAACATTTTGTGGGTCACCTATGAATGTTTGAGTTACATTTATAAAATGTGTAATTATTTTATAATATGTAGAGCATGTTGAACTGCAATAACATTTCAAGTACAATATTTTTTATAACCTACCTTTGGCCTTCATCTATAAGATAATACAGAGCTTTGTCTTTCACTTTCAGGTTTACTGTGATGGAGTGTCGGTCTCTGATTCTGTGCCCTTTGTGCGGATGGGAGCGTCATCCTGAAATACATTTATCAGCCAGAATAGTTCTGTCAGTTTCACTTTGAGTAAACAGGCCCATTAAAACACAGACTGAACAAACTGCTCAATAATTCCCTTCAATTCAGAAGCAAAACTCTTACAGGGATCTTGACAAGTCTTAAAAGCCATAGAATTTTTCAATCTAAAAATAAGGCCTTAATTAGCCTTAAAATGTCTGAAATTAATTTAAGACATTCATTTATATGGACTCGTTTATATGACTGATCACTTTCTTTCATGGTTCAAAATTAGCCTGATCTTCAGTAGCAATTTAATCATCTTCATGCAGGACGATGCACCATCTCATGCTGCAAGGAATGCCTTTGTGTCACTGGCTGCTATGGGCATAAAGGGGAGAAACTCATGGTGTGTCACCAACCTCCTCTGACCTCTGACCCTATTGGGAACCTTTGGAGTTTCCTCCATCAGAAGATCTGAGGGTTTATCGCAGGTCATATCAAACAGCAGCTCTGGGAAGATTTTCTGACATCCTGCAGAGAAATTCATGAAGAAACTTTCCACAAACTCAAAAGTTCAATGGATCAAGAATTGTGCAGGTGAAACCAAAGAATGGCTCCAATGTTAGTTAGCATGTAACTCTGTCAAGATGCCTTTGATAAAAACAGCTTTTTATTTTAGTGCTTATGACCATTTAATGCTGCACATTCAAAGAATGACCATTTCCATTTCTTTTTAATCCATTAAATGTTTACAAAATCTCCTGTGCATAATAATAATAATAATAATTTGGAACATTGCATTTTGAGATTTTTATTTTTGAAACAAATACTGTTCTCATGTATTTTTGTACTTTGTTCAGTAAAATCTGGTTTATACTGTAATAATTCATGACTTGAAAATTATACTAACTATCATTTTCACTTTTTCTTCATCTTTGGAAAGTGCTTCAAAAATTAAAACTTTTACACTGGACCAAAACAGTATGATTTATTTATTTTTGTTGTTGTTTTTATTTTGTTAGTTTTTTTTTTGTTAAACCTTTGGGTAAAATTGTCAATATTTTATTTCTATTTGTGTGTTGTGAAGTTGGTCTTAAATTTAATTTCAGGTGGTTGTAAAAAAAAAAGGTCTTAAATCTTAAATTTAACTTGCCTTAAGCTGGAGTAGCCCTACAGCTAAGCAGAGTTTTAGGTTTTTGTGTTTTCCAAACTTGAGAACTGTCAGATAAATCTGTTAAAAAAATAAAACCTTTTCTACATAGTCACTATGTAGAAATAGTCATTTTTCTACATTACTATGTAAACGCTTTTATGGAGAGAGTAGATATATGTCCTTAAAGGTTACCTGAATCTTACTAAAATTAAAAAGTGAATCAAAACACATGTTGGTGAGAATTCTTACTTTTTGATGTATTTAATTCAAATCAGTTCAATTTCTTCATATACAGCAAATTTACAAAATGTCACCTTGGAGAACTTTACCAAAAAGTTAATTCAATCCAGTCATGCAGATAAATTCACAGGCAACTTAAAAACATTCTAAATTGATCCTGGTTATCCAACAGTGGGGTCAAGTTTGGTTTAGCATTTAAATTAAATCTTTTTCTATCAAATGAAAATGTATTTTTTGCTAGTTTCATGTTTTATTTTTATTTAGCTTATAGACATTGTGAGGAATAGGTTTACTGCATCCGTGTTTCCATTCTGATGATCTGCCAGAGATGGTTTTCTGCAGAAAATCCAACTGATTGCATTGAGTCACTGACTTTAAAGCATTCACTCTTCTTGAATCTTTGGTTTTGATCAACCAGGAAGACTGATCAATTCTGATTTCTGACTGATAAATTGGTACATTTTAATTCGTTACTCTAAAACAAATCAGACGTATAAAAACATTAGCAGGTAGGGCAGAAATTGGTCTTTCTCTTTCAGCTTTACTCAGGGGCCTCTCACTTAATATACTGTGCGATTTGTGAACCAGAATACAATGGATCTTTTCATATCAGTTTCATTTGAGTATCAGTTGTCCTTGCAAAGGACAATTGGTGCTGAGGGCAGGACCCGCGGCGCCGACGAAGGGTCTCGGGAGAGGCACAAAGAGGTGGGGACTCAGGAAAGGCACTAGGGGACAACAAAGGAAAAGGGGAGGCACTAGGAGACTGGGGAGGAAAAACTGGGAGGCGAGGACTTGGGGAAATTAAAAAATGTCTTTTTTTAAGCAACAACTTCAAATCTAAAATGTAAAAGATATGACAACAGTGCACTGGATGATTCCAGTTAATTTGCCAGTTATATTGTAACAATCCAACTTGAGCAAATGTACTTTAACCCAGAAACTGTCTAACTGGTAGTAGAGCTATAACAGGGTGTGTCTGCATTTTATCAGGACCTGGATGGTTTCAGTTTCATTTTGAGTGGGTCTAAGGATGTGCATAAAAGAAGAGAAAATCCAGCCAGTTCTTCCATTCCTCCCTCACTTTCTGCTGCACTTCGACCTGACAGGTATGTATCTTCACTGTGTTCAACATGTTTATAGTTTTCTGTTTCTAATGCTTTCTTTGTTGATATTTTTAGTCAATGAATAAAAGCAGCAGTGTTTAACTGCAGGACCAAGCAGAGAGAAGCCAACAAAGGTTTGTTCTACTTTCTCTGTCTTCCTCACTTTTGTTTGGAAAAAATATATTTCTAAATTATTAGCACTGTCTTTGGTGTGAAAACACCAGCATATATTTTTTTCTGTTACTGTCCTGGTGATGAAACATCTCTTATTTTAAAAGTATTAAAACTCATCCAGTTGTGATGTTCAGGTTTTTACAGCCTCCATCTTGGATTCTCTCTAATATAAAAAGATTTAAAATGATCTGACAACAAACCATTACTGACACAAACCCTCCAGCTAGATCTCACATCCCAATATGATGAACATCATTCAGATGTTGATTTTAATTGAATCTTTTTTAGTCTGAAAAGGGTTTTACTACCTCAGATGCTTTGTGATTTATGTTAAATATATAAATTTTAATGCTTAGTGAAAAACTGTTTTCTGCGCAGCTCTCATGCAACAGAAGCTGAGTGCAGTGAAACGCTGACCAACATTTTGATGTGTATTGATGAAACTTGACAGTGTAATGTTTACTGGTTTTCTGTGTGGTGTCTATTATGACTCTTTTCTTTATGATGTCAAGCACTTTGAACTGTCTATATTCTGAAATCTGCTGTACTAATAAACTTTATTTATTGATTATAACCTCCAAAAATTATTCTGCAGACTGTCACAATTGCCGGTTTGGGTTAAAACATTTGAAGGCATCCATCCTACAGGTAAGAAACAACATAAAACATTTTCACCATAATTAATTATGAGTAGAAATATGACAACTGCAAAATGTTATGTAATATGTAAGGAAGTATAAATGTGTGAGCTATTATACTTGTTCATTAGATGTGAATGACAGTTTTAAAACTCCTAATTGTTATCTTCTATGTGGGAGTTGTATGGTCACACAAAGTCTTTGCCAAATAAAACCAAATGCTTTAGCACATTTATTTAAGCTATAATGTTGCAGTTTTTGCAGCATTAAACTATCTAAACAATAAAAGCCAGAAAAGATCAACTTCTCCTCAGCTACTTTGACAAGAACTTTTCTGTTCTTGTCAAACGGATGTTCTTCACTGCTTCTGAGTTGGCCTGAATGCTAAACATTTCTGCCTGAGAAACCAGTAAAATGATCAGTGCTTTCACCAGTCAGAAGGAATGATGCAGAAAAGCTAAATGTTGCTATAAATGATCAGAGTGCTGATCTCGCTGAAATTCAGGGCTCCAGGCCTGCAAAACAAAATAAACCAGCCATATGGTAATTGCATAAATTTTTAATTTAATTATTTTTTTCTAAAAAGCATGTGGCGTACCAGGAAATGCTGGAACATTTTTATAATCAACAAACTTATCAGATCTTTTTTTATTTTCTTTTTATCATTTTTTTTCTCTGAAGAGTTTTTGCGGCGCTTGTGGCTCGTATTTTTGTCAGTAGGCAGACAAGAAAGAGGAGAAGACATGCAGCAAAATTCGCCAGGACCAGGAGTCGAACCCGCGATATTCACATGCGAATATCGTCGAGGACTAGGGCCTCCAAACGTGGGGCGTGCTGACCCCCTGTGCCACCACATCACGCCCCCAAAATTACCAGAATCTTGGCTGGAATTCATATAAAAGAAAATAAAATCATATCCCTATTATCTAGGGACAAGTATTGTGAAGAACAATGAATTTTGGCTATTAACTCCTGAAAAAATAAGTTTCACACAACAACTTTAAAAATCAACTTAATGGTTAAATGACTGAGTGACGCAGGCCACACCCATTTCCACCTACTTATATCTTTGCTGTGTTTCACCAAAGATAAAACCTAGTTTTGATTACTCCACCTGCATAAGCTGGAAAAACATGAAACTTGGTTTTTAAAATCTCTTGACTGAGACAATAAAGCAAAATGGAAAAAATCTGAACATTTTTGAAAATGATGTAATGAAGCAAGGTCAAACATTTCAGTGCTAGAAAGCTTTAGGGTTAACTGGGTTTATGTCCACCAAGTTTCATTACAACAGAAATTTAGATTCAGATCCTAATAAGGGATGAGATATTGTCGAGGTGTATTAACTTATTCATAGTTTTGGAGATGAGGTGCGTTACACAGGCCACAATGTTTGTCTGCCTAATGACTTGACAGATTTTCACCAAACTTTTCAGAGATGTTCAAACCCATCCTGAGGCCATATTTCTCACAAATTAGACATGCAAAATTGCGTTCCCTAAAATTGGTAAAAAGCCTCTACGTGGTGTTATAAGAAACACGTTTTAATGATTTTCTCCACAATTGCTAGATGTGGACTACATCACTATATCTATATACCAGCTATCAACCACTCACCATCACTGCCTGAAGAATATAATGTAAATGGCCCAAGCACTGTTTCAGTCACTTCTTAGTTTTCACCCAAGACAACATACAAACAACCCAGAAAGTCGCCACCCATCAGTTCTCTTTAAAGATCCAAGTTTCTTTCTTTTTTAAATAAAACGGGGGAAGTTGGGTGAGAGACAGCGGGGAGGGGCTGGAGGCTAGGAGGCTAGGAGGGGCTGGATGCTAGGAGGTAGCGAGACGTTATATGCCTGCGCTACATGCTGTAAGATTAACAACGGACCAAACCAAACCCGTGTTTTAAATCGAGCTTTAAGATAATGTATCAAACCTCAGGCGCAAAATGAAATGTACTACAAAAATATGAAAGCATTAAACTCACCTTTGGGTTAGCGTTCGCCTCCATCATCGCCAGCCTCCGTGAAGCTGGTATTTCTTCTATATGACGTGGCGTCTTGTGATTGGCTGGGTGTTGGAATCTGACGTCCATTGCGCATGTCTGTGACCTGAAGTAACCTTTCCATTTTTTAACAGCGAATTTTTAGACGTTGAATTTTGTACAGCGAATTTTTAGACGTTGAATTTGAGACAGCAAATTTTTTATCACTGAATTTTTTTACGTTGAAAATTCAGAGGCATTTTTTATTCAAATCCTGATGGCACATATTTACTTCCATAGGTTTGTTTCATTGATGGATTCAGTCATCTCTGCAATGTGCTGCGAGTAAAGTTGAAAATATCTGCGCATCTAGTAATCAGGATGTAATTTGTAATCTGTCAAAATAACGAATGACAGTTGTGGTGGTGGAGCAGGAGTTAAGCACAGCCCACATAAGGAGGCCTCAGTCCTCGACGCGGCTGTCGCAGGTTCGATTCCCGATGACCTTATCTTCCCCTCTTTCCTGTCTCAGTACTCAGACCTTTAAAAAACACATATGACTTTAGATTTTTCTGATAGTAAAAAATAAATAAAAATATTTTGTTACTCTGAATACTGTTTTTATTCTACTTTGTCATTCAGAATATTCTTGACCCAATGAAAATTGGAGATAAACTTGACTAGTACTTGTTAATCAGAGCAAATTTACCTTCCAATTAAAAGTGTCTTCAAAAGTAACATATCTTAGCAATAACCTGATATGAAAGACAGTTCTTAAACATTTTAATTGTGTACATTTCTGATTTCTTCTTACAGATTTGGCTGTGATTAAGGATCTGAAGCTCCTCGCTGCAGCGTCTATTTTTCTATCACCTGACTAAAAATTTTGTTTTCCAAAGATAACAAGTATGAATTTCTTTAAATCAAAGCCAAACAGACTTTCTGATGCTGTTAAAGCTAAGAGCACAAAGGTGCAGCCACAGATTGGACCACTTCCTGTTTATAAAGTTCCTCTGATGGAGGAGAAGATCAGAATAAATGGATGCAGGTTCTACAAGTTTGGAGAACTCAGCAAAGTTTCTGCCAAACAAAGTCGCACCATCATGGTTCTTGGAGCTACAGGTGCTGGGAAGTCAACTCTCATCAACGGGATGATAAATTACATTCTAGGTGTTCAATGGTCAGACTCGTATCGGTTCATCTTAGTGGACGATGGTCAAACAAAATCCCAAGCTCACAGTCAGACCTCTGAGGTCACTGTGTACAAACTCAACCACAGAGAGGGATTTCAGGTTCCCTTCTCTCTGACCATCATAGACACTCCAGGCTTTGGAGACACCAGAGGAATAGAGAGAGACAGGGAGATCACAGAGCAGCTCTGTAACCTCTTCACTAGTAAAGACGGGGTCAGTGAGATTGATGCTGTGTGTTTCGTAGCTCAGGCTGCTTTAGCTCGTCTCACACCAACACAGAAATATGTCTTTGATTCCATTCTCTCCATCTTTGGCAAAGATATAGCAGAAAACATCAGGATCCTGGTGACATTTGCAGATGGTCAGAAGCCTCCAGTTTCTAGAAGCCATCAACGCTTCAGGCGTACCAAGTCCGAAAGGGAAAGATGGTCTTCCAGTTCACTTCAAATTTAACAACTCTGCTCTGTTTGCTGACAATAAATCCTCTGCAGCAGACACTCAGAGTGATGATGACGATGGAAACTTTGATCAGATGTTTTGGAACATGGGAACAAAAAGCATGAAAAGGTTTTTTGCTGCTCTAAATCAGATAGAAACCAAAAGTTTGACTCTGACCAAAGAGGTCCTGAGAGAAAGACAACAGCTCGAGGTTTCAGTGGAAAATCTGCAGCATCAGGTTAAACTTGGTTTGGCCAAACTGGAGGAGATCAGAGAGACAAGAGAAAAAAATCAAAGAGAATGAAGCCGAGATCAGTAGAAATGAGAACTTTGAGTTTGAGGTCACTGTGAAAAGACCGATACAAGTTGATATCTCAGGTTCTGGGAACTACATTACCAACTGTCAGACATGCCACGTCACCTGTCATTACCCTTGTGCAATACCAAATGATGCTGATAAAAGAGGATGTGCGGCGATGGACAATGGATACTGCACTGTATGTCCAGGGAAATGTTTCTGGAACGTTCATTTCAACCAAAAGTACAGGTGGGAATATAAAGATGTTATAGAGAAACGGACAGCTGCAGACCTGAAAGCAAATTATGAAAAGGCCACAGGGCAGAAGATGACTGTAGAGGGACTAATGAGAGAACTACAGGCTGAATACAATATCATGCAGAAAGAGGTGAATAAATTAATAGATAAGTCAGCAAAGTGTCTGAACAGACTGAAGGAGATAGCACTGAAGCCCAATCCTCTCACCACTCCAGAGTACATTGATCTGCTGATTGAAGGAGAGAAACAGGAAGCAAAACCAGGCTGGAAACAACGGATTCAGTCACTGATGGAGATGAAACAAAAAGCAGAAGTCATGGCTAAAGTGGAGAAAGGAGAAAAACCTCTCCGACGACAAGAGTCGCTTGATCAGAGGTCTTAAATCTGCAGATTGTCCCAAAGTCTTCTAGATTTTAATCCTGCAGTAAAGGTTCTCTCTTAGCATTTGTTCAAAACAATTCATTCTGTCTGAAGCTGCCCTGATCCGTAACTATAATTTGGACACTTTTTGAAACACCAGGACACACAAAATGTAATATTTCTGAATTGTTTTCTGTATCCATAAAGTTTCAATCAGTTTATGATGAACAGTATCATAAACTGAATGAGAATATTGTTTAAGAAAGTCAAGCCATTGCCAGAGTGATTTCTAATCTCAGTTATATATTCTCATGTCAGAGTTGTGAAACCTCATTTTTATCAGACCTGCAGTAAGAATACAAGAGGCTGAAATACCTAGTGGACTTCCACCTTCAAGCTTCGTGGATGCCATTGTACAAAGTGTCTGAATGCTCAGCTCTTATTTGTTTCTTGTTCTATTTTTAATGTTTTGATGTAATATTTTAATTTCTATTATCATGTAAGCATTGCCTGCAAGTGGAAAATCTTAAGTATCACAAATAAAGGCTTTATAACCTCCATTTCTGTGTAATTAATATATATAATGTGTTTTGCTTAGTGAAATAAATGAGCTTTTCGGAAAGACTTTAATTTATTTAATAGGTCTGTATATGGAAATTACAATCTGCTGGAAACAGTAGAGGATGTGCATCACATCATGAATCATATTTAAAGAAAGCAGATAAAATGGGCACGAAATTTACAATTGAAAATAAGTGAAAGTTTTGTAGGTAAAATAGAGATAATTCAGTCAGCTAGTGTCAGTTTACCTAATTAGTTTAAGCATTATTAGTAATGTATATCAGTTATTTTACTTTCTTCCTGTTAGTTTCCTGTCACTGAACCTGTCCTGTTAGTGGCAGTAATGTACCTGCTATTTATCAGTGTTTGAACAGTTTGTTAAAGGGTAATTTTATCGATCTATTCTTCCACAACTAATCTTTTGAAGACAATAATGATAATACAGTCATGGCCAAAAGTATTGAGAATGACACAAATGTTAGATTTTCACATGATCTGCTGCCCTCTGGTTTTCATGTGTGTATGTCAGATGTTGTCATCACATACAGAAATACAATTGCAATCATATTATGAGTAACAAAAGCTTTTATTGACAGAATAAGTTAATGCAGCAAGTCAATATTTGCAGTGTTGACCCCTCTTCTTCAGGACCTCGGCAAAAGCGGCAAGAGAGCCGACCGGCGTGCGTGCTAGGCTACAAGCTAACCCTCACAGACCGGCCCTCCCCAGCCTCTTCCTCGCCAACGCCAGGTCCCTCGCCAACAAAATCGACGAGGTGCGACTCCGAATTATCTCTCGCCGGATGGACAGCTGTGTGACTGTTGCAACAGAGACCTGGCTGGATGAAAACATCCCAGACTCAGCGGTGGAGATAACGGGGCGCGCTCTGTTCCGGGCGGATAGGACGGCAGCTTCGGGTAAGAGTAGAGGCGGAGGTTTGGCATTGTATGTACACAATGCCTGGTGTACAGCCACACACTCTGTCGGCACATTCTGCTCTCCTGACTTGGAATATCTGGCGGTGAAATGCAGACCCTTCAAGTTGGTGAGAGAACTCTCGTCCATTGTGATCGTGGCCGTCTACATACCACCGCGGGCTAATGCTAAGTTAGCATTAGAGGAGCTATACTGCCTGATCAGCGGGCAGATGAACTCCAACCCGGAGGCGGCCATGATTGTGGCGGGGGACTTTAACCACGTGGAACTGAAGGCTGTGTTTCCCAAATTCCACAAGTTCATAAACTTTCCCACCAGAGACAATAACATTTTGGATCAGAGCCAGTCAGGCCGCAGTCAGACGGTCAGGTCGAGCGTTTCAATGCCACCCTCCAGAAGATCCTGGCCACTACAGCAGCACGTTGTCATTGGGATTGGGATCTGATGATCCCTTACGCTGTTATGGCGTACCGGTCAACCAAACATAGTGTTACAGGTTTCTCTCCAAACTTTATGATGTTGGGCCGAGAAGTAAGTGAACCAGTGGACCTCGTTGCAGGTTTGCCCCCTGATTCGGAACACCAACCCACCGCTCCAGAGTATGTGCAGCAGATGCGGGAACGGTTGGAGCTGGCCCACCAAATCGCGAGAGAAGCCCTGGGGGACTCAGTCACACGTGCAAAGAGACAGTACGACAAAAACTGCTACCACACACAGTATAAAGTTGGAGACCCTGTGTGGTATCTAATTAAAGGAACACAAAATGTCAAGAATAAAGTCAAAAAGTTTCTTCCATCATATGAGGGCCCATTCTTTGTTCTAGGCCAATTGGATGACCTAGTTTACCGGATACAGAAGAACCCAAAGTCCAAGGTGAAAGTGGTCCACCATGACCAGCTAAAGCATTACCGCAGCCGGGAGCCTCTGAACAACGCATGGGTCCTGGACAAAAGTCAACACTGGGAACCTACCGAGGTTCCAACACCAACCTTAGAGGAGGACTCTGCAGACTGTGACCTGGATTTGCAGGGTTTGTTCTCTGATGCAACCAGTGCGGGCACTGGCTGTTCCCTGCTGCTTACCTCAACTGAAAAAGATCCCAATCCAGGTGTGTTTGTCCCATCCTCCCCTTCCTATCTCAACCATGAGGATGGTGGGGTTGCGGTGGGATATTCACTCCCTCCGGGTCCGCCGGTTCGACGATCTAGGCGCCGGCGTAGAGCACCAGATCGGTACGGCACATGGATAGTTCCAAGTGGGGACATGGACTGAGTTTAAGGTTCCAGAAGTTATTTAAACTGTTCAACAGTTGTTCAAACTGCAAAGTAAATTTAACGGTGGAACAAATGGTTTGTCTGTAAGGACATGCTTTGATTTATGTTTTTTTTTAGACCTGATGGAGTTCAGTTAGTGTCCCGACCAGTCGTCATAGATACCACTAATTTCTTTCCTCCTGTATTCCATGTAAGGCTTAATTTTGCACATGAGGTACACCTTAAATGAGCTAATTATATCACCAGGATATGTGGTTTTATGTTATGCCGCACCTCTATGTAGGAATGATTGACACAGTTATCTCTTGTTAGCAATAGGGATTGTGAATCAGTTTCATGCATTGTAATGCTGGAGTGGAATTATTGCTCAATTGCCATCCAGAGTGGGGGTAGTGTTGTGGAAAGTGCCTCCACTGTAAGTGATAACAGCTCAGTGAGTGATGTGTGTGAGCCGTCCTCCGGTCAGCAGAGGGGGGCGCTGCGTGCTGAAAGAACCTGCATGTTGTTGGGAGGAGCGAGAGAGAGAGACATGAGTGAGAGTGGAGACGACGACGGGAGCAGCGGCTAACAAAACTCTGTGCAGCT